TTTTTTTTTTTTTTTTTTGTAGTGATATAAAAAAGAATAATTTTTTTAAAATATAAAGTCAAAGTTTGTTAGCATTAAATACTTACCAATTTGGGTACGTTTTTTAATTTTTTTATTCAGTAAAATGGGAAAACATTAAATTCTTCCCTTAATTTGTGGATTGGTTATAATTCATTGTAAAAGATTCAATTTTTATAGCATATGTGTGATTTCATGCTGCCCATTACATTTTGCCAGATTCCATCCGTCTCTTACATGAGTAATTAAGAATTTGTAGTTACGTTTTATGGTAAAAGATTCAATTTTGTTAACTAATGTGAATTATATTTATTATTCATTTAAATATAAATTTTTAAATATATAATAAAATTTTACCAAAATAATTATTTTATGGAATCACATTGTAGTTAAATCGAATTTTTAAATAAAAATTTAAAATGACACTTATTATGAAATTAATATAATGTATTTTATTATCAATTACATGCACCGTATGGGTTGTGTACTATTTTTTTTTTCATCTTAAAGAGGATCAATAGTGTTCCCAATTCTCCTACTCCGCTATTCGAACCCATGACCTTATAGATCATAGGTGAAACGTCTTACCACTCAAGTTGCACTTCGTTGGCGAGTTGTGTACTAATTTTAAATAAACATGTTTTATGTGATTTTGCACAATTTAAATTTCAGATAACATTGAAATTTATAATTTATAAATATTAATTTAATGAACATCTCTTACCCGTGCATCACACGAGATTCGTATTAGTATTTGTGTAATAGTGCTTGTGTTTACTAATGTATATTTATCTTTTGTTGAAAAAATAAATAACACTGCCAATTTAATTGGGCAAATATCACCCCTATGTATAATTTTCTAATGCGCTGAGCCTACGTGGCTGCTTCTGTTGCTTCATAATCCTACTTGGCGAAGAATCATGCTTCGTAATTAGGTTTTGACAAATAATATTGATATATTAATAATAAATAATCTAGGTTCGAACATTATATAAATAATATTTAGCTAACTTATGTATTTTAATATCACTTGTACTAATATAACCTTTTAATTTTTTTGTAATTATACTAAGTGACTAATATATTCCTGACTATTGATTTGTTTCTTTCAATTAACTATAATTGTAAATTTATTTTAAAAGTTGATAACTTTTTTATTCATCATCGGTTTTACCTATATAGTATATCAAATTAATCATCTTTTGATGATCTTCGATTTGACATCCATATTGTATATATGAAATAAATAAATTATATTTATCTTTATAATAATAAAAAATAATAATACTTATTAAAATTCATAAAAAAAATAAAATTATTTCTCAATTGATATATTTATCCTTAATGTAGTCATATTTATAAGTTAAAAAAGTTATTATAATATAACACAGGTAAGTCGCACAAATAAAAAAATGTCATACTAAATATATAATAATATATATTTTTATAAAAGGTATTTAAATTTTCAATTATTTTTTCTTATTAATTTAGATTTAAAAAAAAAATTAGCAAGCACCCGTGTAATACACGGGCGTTGTACTAGTTTAAACAAGATAAACCAATTTTGCGTTCGTATGAATTATGTGCATCAAAAGCAGCATGATAATCAGAACTATTTAAAATGATTTCTATCGAATAACACATCAAAAGCCCGTCTAGCTCAGTCGGTAGAGCGCAAGGCTCTTAACCTTGTGGTCGTGGGTTCGAGCCCCACGGTGGGCGTTATTTTTTTCCCATTTTAAAATTTTTAATCTTTATTGGACCAGTTATGTTATTTATTTATATTTGTTGGCTAATTACTATATTTGTTCTTGCTTCTATATATTGTTAATCATGTTTTTGGATATTGGACCTGCTGCAAAATAAATCTCTTTAGTAAAATTTAAAAGAAAAATTCAAATAGTTTTAGTAGAAAAAAATAAAATAAAATGAGTACTTAAAGTGTAGGGCCTTGTAAAAAAAGGGATATATTCCCCAATCCACATTAGACGGATGAAATTAACATAAACCCCACCCCTCAAAATTTTGATAATTAATAATTATAAAAAAAAGACACAATTATATTTTTTAAATAAAATTATTTATTTTCTCAAAAAAAGACACATCAAATATCATTTCATATCCTTTAGTAAGTAGTAACCAATGGTTCTGATTAAAATCGATCAATTATTGGCAGGTTGATATGTTCTATTATTTGTGAAATTTTCAACATTATGCAATTAAATTATTGTGTGAGAGGGTATTTATTTAAAATAAAATAAAATTATTATTATTATTTTTTTAATTTGATAGGATGTGACACTTACTTACGCAATATAATTACCCTGATAGCAACATAACCGATTGCATTAATTAATTACATCTATACTTATATTAAAAGCTATACTATTTACTAAATGTAGTATGTAGAATAATCAACCCTAATTAATGATTTGCTATTTTTATCAAGCATTTAATTAATACATCTAATATTTTTGGTATGCAAATCAAATTAGCATTTAATTAGTTCCTAAAATATTGGGTATATTTAGGAATATCCATGTATTTCCTAAAATGTTGGTATGCAATACGTAAAAGAAGATTTTTTAATTTTTTTAAATGTAAAATATTGCAACACGTAAAACTATTCCAGTTATTTTTTATTTTATTTTATATATAAAATCTAATCAATATTTAATGCATCCTACAAAATTGGATTTAGTTTAATTCTCCATACAATTGGTTATAACTTTTTCAGTTGTACTTTTTTTATTTATTTATTTTACACTTTTAAATTAATGAAGCTCTCCGAAAATGCCAAATCAAATGATTTATGAAAGTTTTTTTTTTATTTTTTTTTTAAAAAATTTTAATTCTATATACCTGTTGTTACATGGAAATTAACAACAACCAAATTAGGATGTATTTTAAGTAAATCTAAATGTTTAGCGATGGAAAGCTTGTATATTATTTCTGGAAATGTGATTTGTAGCAGGGTGGTAAGGTGGTATTCTTGTCTGTTTGGGAAAATCTCTATTTCCCTTTTATATTTACATACCATATTTATCTGTACAATAATCATTACACTTTGAAAGGTCAAAGGCGGTCTTTGATGGCTCCTCTTGTTAGCTTGCCACTTGGATAAGTGTAATGATGAATTATGCTGAGTTGTCGCCGCCTTACCATGCTGAGCTGGCATGTTATAGATATCGGTCCACCTAGTTATAACCGGTATGTCGTGACTGATATGTAGTAACCGACATGTGTTGACCGACATGTGTTGACCGACATGTGATATCGGTCAACTTAGAAAAGATGTCGGTTCTTGTTGAATCTTTCATTGTGTAATCATCTTGAAGCTGGTGGAAGTGTCTCGTGCTTGTATGAACTCTAATCATCGTCATATTGGTCTCGATCAACGGATTAGTGTCGCTTAATCCGACTTACAGAAAATGATATCAACAATACCCAGCTTAAAAAAACTCATCGCATAGATATGGATGAGTTTAAGAAAAATTTCATAACCCAACTTATAAAATTCCATCTCCACGAGTCAAAAATCACATCCCTCTATCGTAACAACTTTAAAGGTAAATAAATAAAAGTCTAATTACTACTATAAATCCATTATCTATATAGATTTTTTAAAAATCTAAATTTCACCTGTCTAATTACTAATATTTTAGATACTTTTAAATATTATTTGTATAATTATTTTTTACACATTTGCTCTCTCTCTATATATATATATATACATATATGGAGATTAAATGAATAATTTTTATATATATTTTCCTTACGGGTAGTTTAGAAAAATTTAGGTAGCTTTAAACATTATTTGTGAATAATATAGAATATTTTAGATGCTTTTATAGATGTTATAAAATATTTTAAGTATTTTTAATATTTATATATCACACTTAAAAAGAATATTTTGCCANAAAAAAAAAAAACATTACAGTGTAAATGTTAATAGAAACAGTCTTCAGTGTTCGTCTTTGATTTTGTCAAAACAAATCTCATAAAATTGGTAAAGTCAAAATTTGTACGTAAAGTCTATCTATAGTAAAAACAATGTAGATTCAAAATTCATTATCTAATTTCTTCTTTTCCTTATCTAATTCCTTCTTATTATATAATTGTATATAAATCTGTTCTGATTTTGTTCAATCCTCTAATTGTATTTGTATTATATCCCATAAAATCGGTTTAACAAAAAAAATCCCATAACATCCGATAAATAAAAAAAAAGTACGTAAAATCTTTACTAAAATAAAAAGGCTTTATTTATTATCTAATTGTATGGAAATCTGTTCTGATTTTATAGTACGTACTACAAATTGTGCACCCGTGTTCAGGAGCTACTTAACGGGCATTCTCTGTGGAAATAACGCATTTAGTGCTTCTGTCCCGTGCATATGGTATGTATTTGTATTACACATACTAGAAAATTGTGCACTCCGTGCATCGCACCGACTCTGTACTAACAAATGACCTTAAAATTGTGCATTCCGTGCATCACCCGTGTTCAAATTTTGGCCTATTACAGGTCACGTACTATATATATCTCGTACATTTTTCTTTATTCATTTATATATTATAAGACATGATAAATAACCTTAATTTTGTGCACCCCGTGCATCGCACGGGATCTATACTAGTACTATATGAATATGGATTAGGATTACTACTTGCATTAAAAAAAAAAAACAAAAAAATCAACTATTAAATAACTAATTGAATATATATTAAAACATAGAGAATAATTTTAAGAGTGAAAGTAATTATTGTCATATTTTCAACTAGATATCGCCACGTGTACGGCTGATATCCACCCACACCCTCCCCTTCCGCTTTTAAATACGTTCCCTTGGTTTCGACCTCTGCACAACAAAAAAACAGAACGGATCTATAATATTACTAAAATTCTAAATCAAATTGAAAAATAAAATAAATATTTTTTTCTTTTAAAAAGATCAAAATCCCAGAAAAAATGTCTTGCTGCGGAGGAAACTGCGGGTGTGGCTCTGCCTGCAAGTGCGGCAATGGCTGCGGAGGGTATTTATTTATTTATTTTTTAATCATTTTATTTTACTTTATATTATTTTATTTATTTTATTTTATTTTATTTTTATTTTTTTCAAAACAATGAAAGAATAATTAATTTGTGCAGGTGCAATATGTACCCGGGGCTGAGCTACTCGGAGGCCGCCGGCGCCGCCGCGGAGACCGTCGTTCTCGGCGTCCCACCTCAGAGAACGTATGTATTTTTTTTTTAAAAAAAATCAAATTCCATTTTTTTTTTTTTATGTATATGCATAATTTGAAATTTAATCATCTTATTTTGAATTATTTTGCTATTTATGTGCAGAAGAACATTTGAGGGGTCGGAAATGGCTGTGGCCGGGTCGGAGTACGACGGGTGCAAGTGCGGGTCCAACTGCACCTGCAGCCCATGTACCTGCAAATGAATTGGGCCTGGCCCAAACTTAATTGGGCTCTTAAGCAGGGATCGTGAATTCGTGATGGAGTCTTTACTAGTAATAATGTGTGTAGTTGACTAAAGGACAAAAAATTATTACGTGGGAAAAAAATATTATAGGAAGATGTAATTTGCGTCCTTGTGTAATAAAAAGTGGCCACGTGTGAGGGACTTTGTGGTGGTCACTGGTGTGTGTACTGCAATCTGTTTTTTGCTTGGAGCCTTAATGCTATCTATATATATATTGAAGAAAAAATTTGAGTTTAATTGTATGAATAATGATTAATCTTAGAGTTGTTAAACAAACTACTTAGGAACATTGCTCGGCTTGGCTAGTTAAAACTTGAATTCGACTAATTATTTTTTATTAAAACACTCGAGTTCAAGTAGTTAATTGAGGAGTCCATTGATTAAACGTGTATGAATTTTTGTTCATTGATTAAATGAGTACGAATTCGAATATGAGCTACTCGGCTTTAAGTTAGAATAATACTAAGATTTTTGGAACTAAACTATAATTTATTCCACAAATACACAATACAATAAAAAAAAAAAAAAAAATCTTAGAATAACAATAATCACCATCTTAAATTATCATATATTGGGTCGTGCAACTAAACAATTCACAATAAATAATCTTAACCACCTACGTTCCAAACATAAAGCAGACGGTACAAATGCAATACAACGCAGCAAATTGGTACTAAAATGTACCATTCGTACTACACACGGTACAAGTGTACTAAGGATATCATGAATAGCAAACCAAGAAAACCAGACAAGGACAAAAAACTATCCTTATTCTGAGTCGACTCACACAGTGAAACAGAGTCGACTCGGTGGAAACAGAGAACAACTAGGCGTTGTATACGAGTTTTTCAAGTAGTCCATTTGCAGCTTTTCCAAACATATTGTGCGCCTGCGCCGTAGTTAATAATTCAAAAGGACATTAGCGAAAAAAAAAGGTAAATAAATAAAAATGAGGCTTGTTACACAATAAAAAGGGAAATGCTACAGTCCCGTTACGGAACCATTCTGTCGAGATTTGTAACCGTTACATTTACCTGTTTGGAGGAAAGGCCAATCTTCTCAAGATCACCCAACTGCAATCATAATAAAAAAAAAAATGAAGAATTAATAAAGTTTTCCTCATTGCAAGTAACATGAAGCTGTTACCATTTTTTATTTAATATATGGAAAGTTCTTACAGATTTCAGAGGGCTCGCTTCCCTTAGCTCGATAATGTACTCGGCTAACCTCTGACCGATACCCTGAAACGCATAGCAAGAAAGAACAATGAGTTCTTTTTTATGTTGTTTTGATCATCAGTTGTAATGGAGTTCTGTTTTTTTCAAAAGAAAAATCAGCATACAAAAACAGGCACAACATTCATTACCCTTAGCTTCATTAGCTCCTCCCTGAAAAATTAAGGAACATGAAAACTAAGTTCAACTCAAAAACCAAAGATAACATATCATATAAACGGTAAGGAGAAAATTTGAAGGCTTTAGAAGGAAACTTTTACCGGTCTGCTGTGTTCAAAAATTCGATATAATCTTGGACGAGGGTAGTCTGTGCAAGGAAAATATGCGTTAAATGCACATATATATCATGCTAATATTTATTATTATTACAATGAAAATGAAAATAAAGGTACCACCTTCAAGCTGGAACTACGTGCAGTAAGCTTATCAAGTGGGGTCTCTAAAACTTGGAAGTTTTTTTCGCCATCACGCGATATGGGATTTAATGTGGGAGTTTTCGGTTCAGTAATAAGAGCAAAATATTGTTTTTCAGTATTTTCGATAGGCGACCGAACAGGACTTCTAAGTACTTTAATATTCTGCTTCAGAGGTGAGAGGCTAATGCCATCAACAGATTCACAGTCCTTTGCTTCCTTCTCATCAAATGACGTTGCATCTAGACAGAGGGAGGGTGAGAGGATGAGATATTACAGCACACACAACAACAACCAAAAAAAAAAAAAAAAATGGAAATTATGAAACTTTCGAGATAAAAATGGAATGAAATAGCGTACAGTGTAAGTCGGGATTCAAATAGGCTGCAACTTCGTTAACCGGTATATCGAGTTTTGCAATACTTATTTCAGTTGGACAAAGTTCTTGAGCCTGTGAAAAAAAAACAAAAAAAGACGATGAGGTTCTGGAAAAATATGCTATCTGATTATATGAGAGAAGGAAAATAACTCTCCAATCTATCAATTGAACTAATGAACTTGACCAAGAAAGTGATGATCATCGATAGCTGTCGAGCACAACTTTGCAGTAACATATTAGAAAGGCATTATAATTTCATCTGTAAATACTAATGCATCTAACAGAACCTAAAAGGCTAAAAAACATAACACCTACCTCGTGGCTATGATCTGCAGTACTCCTCAGACCATGAAATATGTTTCTGCTCGCTTTACATGAACTCCTGTTGATAATAAATAAAATAAGTTCAAGTCATGTGCAGTAGCCAGCAAAATACAAATTTCTCTCTCTCTCTCTCTCTCTCTCTCTCTCTCTCTCTATCTCTCTCTCTCTCTCTCTTTTTTTTTTCTACCTTTGTTCTGAATCGAGAAGACCTTGGCCTCTAACAACTTTAGCTTCATTAGAGCACAGATTTGTGTTCAATTTCCTGATAGGTTTAACCGAACTTGGAGTCCTCCCACAAAACGGAGAGTGGCAAAGGCCCATTCTTTGTTGAGAAGAACCTTTTGTTTTGCCTTTCGATTCGAGCCAAGCAAGAAGCTTTGCCTCCATATCAACCTTCATATTCGAGTTTGCATTGTTTTGAGTCTGGCCAACGAAATTAGAAACATGGCGAGACCTAGCTGCCAAGCTAACAGTATGAACAGATTCTTGATACTCCCCCGGATTCTATTATTGCCAGATAGATAATTCTTCAGTCAGTTCATAAAAAAAAATGTTTATCCAAATCATAACAAAATTTTGATGTAAAGTATATCCAATATCATATACCAAACAGGCGACCATAAGAGCTCGGCTTGTCCCACCAAGAGAGTCCTGTAGTATTCGCGTCAACTTACTATCTCTGTACGGCACTCTCGGCTGGCCGTTGTTAAGTGCGTATATCACATTTGACAGTGCAAACAGAGATTGGTTAATCTTGGCACTTTCTTGAAGTCGGATTCCCTCATTGCATGTCCTCCTATTGTCCTCATTTCCTGCATTAATTCACATACTCAAATGTTAAAAATACTCTTAGGCTATGTTTGGTAAAACTAGCTAATAAGCTAGCTTATAGCTTTTAAGTGAATTTTTTCGAGCTTATAGTTGATATGGCTTTGAAATTCTAGCTTATATGATAAAAAGTGTTTGGTTAAATTGGCGTAAATAAAAATTTCAAAGGGCTTATGAGATAAGATCGAGCTTTTTAAAAACCCTCGTCCTACCAAACCAAGCTTATTTGAATACATGAAGCATATAAGCTAATCAAATAAATTATTAGCTATAGCTTATATGCTTCTGATAGATAACTCTTCTATAAAGTTCAGTAATATCCGAGCTCATAAATTTACTCTCATCTAGTAGCTGTAGTTTTTGCTACTTCCGCTTAATCGCTGTCTAGAGCATAAAGAAAGCACTTATTTTAACCAAATACCTGCTAAATCGATGAGGTTAAGCTTTCCAGTGACAGCTTTGTCAATATTATCATGTTGTGATGTGGATAAAACGGTAATTGTAAGCACCCCATGGCTTCTGCTCGACACGTCATTGAGGCTCGTATTCGCGACCTTTCGTCTTTGAACCGCAGAAGAGAATATGTCGTGAAATTCGGCCAACGATCTCACTTCGACTTGAGCCAATCCCTTAAGGTGGATCTGCCCGTCTTTATCGTTCCATACGAGGATTTCCTTTTCTTTAGGATCCAATAAATCGTAACACTTGTCGAGGTAGATCTCAAAGTAAGAAATCGAAACAGCACTACTGCCCGTGGAAGAATTGCACGACAAGATGTTTGACATGGAAAGTGACATTAGTCCAGGTACCTTATCTGCCCCCTGCTTTTTCATTTTCAATTTTTGGCAAGATGCATTAGGTTTCAAACAGAAGATACAACTGAATTCAAAGTGAAGTGATGGTTAAACACATAAAGTCGTTAAATTTACTGTCATAGAAAGCTAATTCCCAATCCTAGCAAATTATACAGAAATATGGCATTAAGGGCTTAGATTAAACCTGCATAGTGTAAGTTTTTCCACTTCCAGTGGCCCCATAAGCGAACACAGTAGCATTATAGCCCTGAAATAGTCCTGGAACTAAAGGCTTAACTTCTTTCTCGAAAATCCGGCTCACATTGTCGTCTTCCTCACCGAAAACCGCATCCAATTGGTAGCACTCTTTTCGACTAACGCCATAGAAAGCAAAAAATACATATGTACATATTAAACCAAAACCCTTGCAGAACCCTAGAAAAATTGCAGCGTCTTTAAAAATGCAAACCTGGTTCCGTGATCTTTGAGGACAACAGTGATTTCATCAGCTGAAGGCTCGGATCCCTGAACGGATACACATGATCTCGGGTTTCCGTTTTCCGACGAGGCTTCTTGAGGGAGAAAAGGCCGGAGCTTTAGAACGACTCGGACCTTCGATACTGAACTCGGCTGGCGGTGGGTTTTTGCCGGGGTCGAATAGCTCTTTGCTTGAGATGGGGTCGCCGGAAATTGCTCGGTTTGGGTCTCCATGAGAACAGACGGGCGGTTTTCTGAGGCGGAGAGGAGCAAATCGACGGTGGAGTTTCAGTGAAAGGTTGCTTACCGTGTTGTGTAGACCGTTGTGAAAAAAGGGGGGATTTTTTTCTCTGTATAGCTTCTGAGCGGTTTTGAACGTTCAAATTTGAAGTGTGGGTCCCGGCCATACCCGACCCGAACCCAAATAACCCTACTTGAAACAAATTTTAGCCCATTACTAGATACAATAAAGCCCAACATAAAAGCCTTTACCCAATAAGTATAAATAAATGAAAAAGAGCCCACAAAACGCAGAACGAAGACACAGCACAAACGGAAGCAATAGAAGACCGGGATAAGCGAGGGAGAGAGAGAGAGAGAGAGAGAGTCAGCGCCGCCGTGCCCCGGCGGAATTTGTGAACAGAAGCCTCCGGCGAGCAATCATTCTCCGGTATGTCCTAACATACCTAATTTCTATTCGTTTAAAAAAACTACTATATATCCGGTGTTCGATTTACAGATATACTGCTTCAATTTGCTCATGAATCGTGAATTCGTGATTACTACCAACTTCAGTGACGCTGCTTGAGGTTTTTAGGTGATTAATGTTGTACTTCTGCTGGAGAATTTTCCCTGAGCTTGAATTTGATTTTTGGAACAAAATTTGGGGGGGTTTTGGAGATTCAATCGAACTGCGTCTCGTATTTTACTTCCTGTTTTTGTGTTTGCCTAATTTTTGGTCCATTTACAGCGCAATTAATTTGTTTTGTTATTTGATTTACCATGTCCATAATCAGTGTTGCACAGACTATTCAAATTGAGTGATATGATGGGGACTTCTTAGTTTTGAATGCAATAAGTGAAGTATGGAGATTGAATCGTAGTTGTTTGCTTTTAAGGTGTTTGTGTTTAGAAACCCTGAAATTGTTTTTCGATAATCTTCGGCTAGCTTGCACTAATATCGTTGGTTCATAGAATTTTTATTGTTTTGAAAACCTAGTAGCCGTATTTGTTCTGATTTTCTTGAAATATGTAATCCGGTTTTAAGATCTTTGGACTCGGCTGGTCGAAACTAGCCTCCAACATCACATAGCTTTTCTTTTTGAAAAATTTATATAATCTGTGTTTCTGAGCGTCCTCTCCTCACACATCACAGAGTTTTATTTTTAAAAATTTATTTATCAACCGGTCGAAACTAACCTCGTCTTTTGTATCAGACATTGAGCCCTTCATCAGCTGATGTAAAAGAAGAGAGAAAAAAAATGGATTTGCCGACAAACGAAGCTTTGGTCAGCAAGCCAAGAAAGAAGAAGCCTTTAACAACAGCTCAACACACATTACCATCACCCAGCGACATTACCAAAAGCTCCCACGAAACTCGGACAAATTCGACTCGAAAGGGGCAAAAGGCATCCAAGAAGGGGGCCACATACGAAATCCCGACAGGTTTCACACCGGACAAGATAGATTCGGCTGCAGATGCCGAGCTGACAGCAGGCAACGAGTACCGAGCCCTAAGGCGAAAGTATTTGCTTCTGGAAGAGGAAAGCTTTGGGTTAGGACGGGAGTTGAAAGTGGTCGAGGATGATATTAAGGCACTTGAGGAGGAGAAACTGTCTTTACTAGACGAGCTGGTTGTCTTGGAAGGCCTCGTGGACCCTTTAAACGTTCATGCCAGAAAGCCGTAGGTATGCCTTGAAAATGTGTCGTTTCCTCGTATTTGTGTGTGATCTGTGTGTGTGTTTATTTATTTACTTTTTCTCCGCTTTTTAGGGTATGTGTGTGTACTGTGAATAAAGGAATATTTTCCTAAGTATTTATGAATTGTGATATATATTTCTGGTACAAGAGAAATGTGTGGATTGTCTGTAAATCTTTCTTTTCTTCAGTTGAAATAGAAGAATGTATACTTGCATTGTTGCTGGACATTTTAGGCACCAAGGAAGAGAGACTTGCCACCATTAAATTAAACGAGCTTAGCTTGACTAGACTCGAGTTCGATGCTTTAACAAACCGAGGTCGAACTCATTTCAAGTTCGTTTGATTAACGAGCTCGGCTCGATAAGGCTCGAAAAAAGATTTTTTATACAACTTTTTATAGTTCGAGGCCTTAAAGAGCCGAGCTCGAGCTCGGTTTCTGCTTGTTAAAGGCTCGAGCACCCTAAGCTTGGCTTGTTTACATGCCTGCTTGCCACCTTACCTAGGATGGTAAATGAGTTGAGCTGAATAGAGTTCGAGCCAATAAACGAGCTTCAGATGAGCTCATTAACAACTCTTAACTGGACAAACTCGAGCTTTTACAAATCGCTATAAGATAGAAGTTCAGAAAGTTACGTAAAAGCCTCTAGTTATTATTAAGTTTGTCTAGCTGACTTCGGCTTGACTTATTAACTAAACGAATTCAAGCTTGAGCTTTGATAAACAAGCCAGAGCTCGCTAGTGACTCGTTTCATTTAACAACTCTTTGCGTCTGTAGGTTTCCGAACTATGGCTCCACGCTTGCATAATCCCTGTCTAATTATAAAAGCTAAAAATATTATAATATTGTTACTTTAGTCAAATTAATTAATTTATTTATCGAGTATAGTCCGGGAATACCACATGCATAATTCTATATTTTTTTTTAAAAAAAAATTATTTGTGCAGAATAAGAATAAAAGATCTCAATGGATATTTTGAGAGCCACTCGAGCACTTCAAAAATGATAAAGCGCGATTTAATTAATCACGTGATTAGGTAAAGCAAGTGATTTGATAATTATACTTTTTCGATATATTTGCATATATTTATTTCATCAAATATTATATCTTACAGAATAATAGAAAATAAAAAAATATTAAAGTATTACATATACCTATTAAATTATCTTACACAAACATTTATTTTATAGATTGATTGTGATTAGAGAGTTTTTTTTTTTTTTTTTTTT